TTACTCACTATGCTTAATAAACTGATTGGTCTGTAGTTATGGGGATAATTCTTGTTGCCTTTTTTATACAAGGGGATGATGACAGCTACCCCCCAGTCCTTTGGGATTTTTCCAGACTGATCAATATGAGAGAACAGTGAGGTTAGAACAGGGGCCTACCACTCTGCATTCCATTTTATCATTTCTGGTAGAATTACATTTGGGCCAGGAGCCTTCCCAGGCTTTAGAGTCTCAATAAGACGTTAAACCTCCGAGGGATCCACCAGGGGCCAGTTTGGTAAATTGTTAAAATCTTCAGAATTGATATTATGTTACTGTATCTCCATAGAGTTTCTTATAATGTTCCTCCTAAATACTAGATGAAACAGACTTATTTGATAAAGTTGATGGACCTTTTGAGAGATCTGAGACGAATCTCCAGAATAGAGCTGTGTTATTCTCCCTTACTGCCTTTCTGAGATCTTCCCAAGCTAACCTAGTTGATTCCTATTTATTCCTTCTTATAAAGGCCTTATACTGAGCCTTTTGGAGTTTTAGAGCTACTAAGGTCAGAGCCTCTAGATTTGTTCTATAGCTAACATAATTCATATTAAGAGATTTCTTTGTGCATCTGCACTCCTTGTCAAACCAAGGTCTATGGGAAACTGGTCTGGCACAAGTGGGTCTGGGGTTAGAAGACTTCAAAATCTTTTGTAGCTCCCACAGAATTAGTTCATAACCCCCCAGGCAAGATTATTGTCTGCTGCCACCAAGCTACGGGAGATGCCAGTAATAGTGTCAGAATGGAGAGTCTCAACAATGGTCTTCTCTAAGGAAATTTTCCATCTAGGGCGATGGTATTAATCGCCGTCTACCTTTCCAGAACTGATATTTGGCAATATAACTGCATGTAAGTCCATCATTTGTATGTTTGTCCTTAAAACTAGAGGCAAATGGTCACTGTCACAGAACGGGGCCACCTCGAACTGCTCAATGTGTTGGACAAAGTCTGCAGAGACCATAATATAATCAGTTATGCTAATTCTTTCGTCCAACCAATACATAAACTCTGTGGGGTAATCATTTGGAAGGGAACCATTCAATACAAAGAGATTAATACTACTTGTTATTTGATTTAGCAAAGTACCTGCAAAATTGACCTTTGTATCCTTTGATACTCTATATAAAGGCAAAATTACCCTACTAGACCTGGGGGGGCAAGAGCAATGGGTACCAGAACCGGTCCAAGCTTTGAAATCTCTTCCCACAATGAGCTGAGCCGAGGAGTAGACCTGCATTAAATGCTGCAAGTAGGATTCAAACAGAGCATGTTCTGTAACTTTAATAGTAGAGCCATAGCATAATGATCATAGTGGGGGAGCTCTTCTACCATTATATTTAGCAGGGAATAAATTAAAATATAAAGTCCTCCTTTGGCTCTACCATGTAAGGATGCCACTGCTGGAAGAAAAAAAATTTGTATCTATTCAAAGAGGGCTCCTCCATACACCAAGTTTCCTGCCCGAGAATTATATCAAAATTGGAAATAAACTCAATTGTGCTAACCTCCCTCATTCTACAGTGCCAAACCTTAGGTTCAATGATAGTAATGAAAAAACCTGATTGGTAGATGGCATGGCATTGGCATTTTGGAATATTGGAGTATCTGATTTATTTAGTCATGCCATTGGCCGTTATTCCCAGGCAACCTATTTGGAGGGAGAGTCATGATGTCTTCAGTCTCATTTCCCTTTGATAAAAAGATATGTCTTTCTGGATTAAATTCCTGTTGGGGTCTAAGCTGAGCTGATTCAAAGAGGTGTTTCTCACACCCTGATGTCTATAGTAATGAAGGCTGATAGTCTGGTAAAGCAGTTGTTGTAGAATTCTCATTAACAAAAGAGGAAACCTGCAAGTCCTGTGATGGTGGAGGAACCATTGATTCTGTCAGTGTCTTTCTTAACTCTTCCAGTCTGTTAGTAATCCTCAGATGGTCCACTTGAGAGAGGCTTCCAAAAGATCCTATTAATTCTGTCTCTACTGAATTGTCCAGTTGAGAAGCCCCTACTTCTGACAGTAGGTGGTCTGATACCTCATCCAGGGTTATTAATTCAGAAGCCTCTTCCAGAACCATTGGATCTTGATGAATCTCATCCACTCATTCTACTGAGCGACAGAGGGCCTTTTTACTTGCTATAGGAGGGCGTGGGAAAAGAGGGGTATCTTCTGAATTGTTAAATACCCTTGTTGGACAAATCCTCTTGAGTCTCAAGCTGGATTTCTGAGTTAAAATCAAGGAGGGAAAGACAGGAGTTTCGAAGGTGAGTATGACTCTCTGAAGCTGATTTGTATAATCCCAGCATTTCCACTAGACTAAGATCCAAAGGTTTTCTGGCACCTTTGAGCACACTTCTCAGGTGCCTGCTGGCCTGTCATTTGGATCTCCAGGATGGCAAATGTCCTCTGTAGGGGTGTATTAAGAGACATACTCTATGCAATTGTAAAATTAGGCACTGGGAACTATGTCGCTGCTCCTTGTCCTGCTCCTTCAAGGCCTTTGTCTGTGGAAAAGAGCAGTCTGCAGCCGAGATAAAGGAGCTCACAGATTCTTGCAAATTGCCACCCTGAGCTGAGATAGGGGGAGCTTTTGAGTTGGCTCTCATTTCAACAGTCAGCCTTGAAACTGCTTGTGCCAGCTTATCAGTATATTTTCTTAAAACATTCAACAACTCAAAAATAGAAGCTACTGTCAAGGCTGTAAGTTCAGAATAATTACACACTATTACATAGCAGATTCATTTGCCAAATCTGGCAAAATGATATCATTGTCTCTCACTAGGTCTTCCGTTCCCATATACTCAGTGTCCACACCTGCCGGGGGGGAGTAACAGTTTGATACAGGGATATTAAAAGAGTCTTTCTTACTAAAAACAAAATACTCAACGATCTTTGTTTGTTTCTGTGCCAGCTGTAAATTTATATCCTCTAATTCACAAGGGTGTTTACCATGACCCATAGCTAAAGTTATGAGTAGTTTATAAGTAATTTCACTCCTTCTTGCAGCCCAGCAGATAATAGCCCGGTAGCAACAGCGGGTATTCAACAGCACAGCAAAAGAACAGAGATAAAAGCAGGGAGACCACAAATCTAATAGTCTGATAGTCTATTAAGCTCAGTAGGGAATGAAGAAATAAAAATAAAATAAACTTGCAAAGCCTTCAGGGTTTTCAGCACATTTGCTTGGGTGCCGCCATCTTGGATCCTCCCACAAACTATTCTGGACTGTTTATAAAGTTAATATCTCTGCTACCTGGCATTACGTTTGATGACACACATGGCGTGGCCCGACAAAGTCCCATTTTTGTCACATCCAGCCCTCGTAACAAATGAGTTTGACACCCCTGCATTAATGTCATGCCCTTTGAGGGGAAAATCAGAATGAGTTAAATGTAGGGATGCACATTACCCTTTTTAACCTGTTTTGAAGCCATTTTTGATCCATCATGGAGTAAACCGGTATAGGGCTGCCATTTCACACATGGTTTTCCCCTTCCGGTAAAGAGCTGGATCTGAAGCAGTTTGCCATTTCAGACTGCACCGCTTTTCCCCGCTTTCCCCCCCCGTTTTTCACCCACGTGGGTGATCTCCAGCTTTTTTTTTTAATGTTCACTTTAGAGCACTATAGCGCTATAGTGCTATAACACAACACTCCAGGCATTCCAGTGGGGTTGATATAATGCTGTTGCATTATACTGTTATAGCGCTATAGCGCTCTAAAGTGAACGTTCAAAAAAAAGCCGGAGATCGCCCACGCGGGTGAAAAACGGCAAGGAAAAAACAGAACCGGGAGAGGAAACTGAAGACTACTTGGAAGCGGTTGACAGGTAAAACGCTTCAGCCCCGTTCGTGTGTGAAATTACAAATATATTCTGGTAGGGAACCGGTTCTAAAACGGTTCTGTCTGAAATGACAGACCAGAAACCGTTTGGGAACCGTTTCCTTTCTGGATTATATTGTCTGTCTGAAATTCCTCAACATTTCCATCTGTTGAATCCCTGTAGCTTGGAACTTCTCCAGATTTCCACTCATTCCATAACTTTTAGCCAGTCATCAGCATAAGAAACGAATGACCAGCTAATAGAGGTGTATATTAGAACTCAAGCGACTTAATTTCAAAATTTTGAAGAGCAGGCACACTATTGATGTCTGTTTTTTTTTTCTGTCTAAGCCCATATATAAATTGAATGTCTTCAGTAGCTCTAATTTCATCCCACAGTTTGAAAGAAACCCCTTGAAACATCAATAGTTGAGGTGAACTGGTGAAAGAGATCAATTCTTTTACATTCAGATTTAAAACATATTAGTAATTTATATTGTACTAGCCTGATACCCATGCTTCGCTATGATATTTAAGAACACATTTTGCCCCTTTACTACCCCCTTAGTGGTCATGTTTCTTAGAAATCTCTTTGTAGTGGGGGTTGACATCATAGGAATGCACTCCCCTTATTTTGGGTTTCTTGGTCCATGGGTTACAGCTTTAAGCACCCTGCACCCACTGCTGCACCTGACAGGTGTAGGACGTTGGGGGGAGTGTGTCTGAAGCTATGGGGTGGCTGGGCCAGCAGCATTGCTGCACCTCAGAGGTGGCTAGCCATTTCTGCTTCCCTCAACTGTCATTAGCTCTCTTTTTTTACCTCAGAACACTGACCTCTGCAGCTGACGAGTCAGAGAGTGGGGGATGCAAGGAGGCAACAGCCTGGCAGCCACATAGGAAGTAATGGGGGGAGCACATTTTACCCCTTTTGACCCCCTTCTTAATGAGCATCTACGTCATAGTAGGAGTGCTCTCCCCGAATTTCATTTTTCTAGGTCCAGGGGTTTTGCCTGGGTGTTGATTTTACAGTGAGGGGACTTTCTTTGATATATATAGATAACTTTTAAAAAGTATTAAATGGCCAGGTAACACTTAAAATAGGCCTTTGTACATTCCCACTCCTCTCCTTTCTTTTTCATTCTAGGAACTTGCAAACAAGGCTCCAGTATTTATTGCTTTCAGATCTGCCACCAAAAGAAGTGTACATTATGACGATGTACCAGAATATAAAGATCGATTAACTCTTTCGGAAAATTATACCTTATCAATAAGTAATGCAAGAATTGGTGATGAAAAGAGATTTGTATGCATGCTGGTAACGGAGGACAATGTGTTTGAAGAGCCTACAATAGTCAAAGTGTTCAGTAAGTACCAGCTACTAAAACAACTAAACAATATTGATGGCTAGTGTGTGTCCCTTCACATAGAGAATTCTTATTAAGTAATAGGAAGCAAAGCATCATTCAGTGGAGCTAGGCATTCTGCCATAAATAAAAGACCTATTTTGTGTGCAGTATTTGTGTAAGAGAATGAGTAGTAACCTGTGTGTAGACATGAACTCCAAATGGCAGCTTCAAGGAAGTCAAGTGTAAAAGTATGATAATACTAGTTGGGTTTTTTTATATGGAGATCTTTTTATTAATATGGAAAATAGAAAAATGAAACCAATAGGAAAACGCTTAATTCTTAGGTACTAAACCTGGCTTCCAAGCAATTCTCAATAGATGAGTTTACAGAAGCTCAGAAAGGAAGGTTTGGGTACTTTCTTGCAGTCTAAGCTTCTCAGGTTGCCAAACTTGTAAACACAGAAATCCTTCCTTATAGAAGGAAGAAGACACACAGACAAGTATTTCTGGGGTATAAGCATTTGATAGTCGAAGCACCTTTTGTCGGATCCAATTAAGTGAGCTTTGATGCTTGACAGCTTATACCCCCAAATTCTTGTTGGTCTCTAAGGTGCTATAGGACCCAAATCTAGTTGTTCTACTGCAGACCAACATAGCTACCTTCTGAAACAAGCATTTCTGATTGACAGAGATTACTGGTAGTTCAGATAAATACTTTATTCAAAGCAACAAGTTGAGATGAATACAATGCAATTTGTATATTTCTGGCACCAATTCATATCCTGCCCTGAGCCTGCCCATGCGGGGAGGGTGGAATATAAATTGAAAATATAAATATATAAAATAAAAAATCCTGGTTTTTATCACGAGTCAGTTTTTGGTTACACATTTATATTATATATATATGAGCTTATAAGAAACAATCAACTCAAAGAAGAATCATTTGTAAAGAACTCATGAGAAATATATTTGTGAGCAAGAAACCGGAACAATGCTTTCTGTTGACCAGCACCTATTTGTTTTTACTGAAGTGTGCAGTGGAAAAGTCCTCATCTCTTTAACTAGCTAAAAGAACAAGGACAATAAAACAGTAGACTTTCCCAAAATTTACCTTTGATCAATGACCCAAGAAAAGCATTTTAGTTGTTTCACAAAGAGCTTTTGCAAGAGCATCTAGAATTTCTCCTTTTAGCAAACAGTATCCTCAACAAAGTAAACATTGATTATACAGACAATAGGATTATGTTTGCTAACTCCAACTTCTGCATACTCTTAAGTCTTTTCTGACAGGCTTTGCTAGCTTTTAGGTCAGACTGAGGTCAGCTAAATCAGGAGATCATAGGCCTTTCATAAAACATAATTGTAAATCTAAAAGGAATACAAATTCAGATCCAAATTACACATCTGCTTAATCTACTCTAATCTCTGAACAGGATCATGCATAAAAAGAAATGCAGACTCAATATGGAGATAGTATAAGTATATGATCTGTGCAAGTTTCCCTGCCTATGTCACAGAAAAGCCACAAGTTTTTCACGCATCTTGTGGCCATTTTCAGCAATACAGAAAAATGTAGTGTGGGTAGGAAATTGCATGAATTTGTTTATGCCCCATTACTATTTCTTTGCCCTTTATATTAACAATTTTTTCTCTCTGGTGAAATCTTTTTAAGGAAACTGAAAAATAAATTAATTCCATTCCCTGTTTTAGCTCTGGGATGAAATGAAGTTCATGAAAATGCCAGATGATCATATGACTTCATTGTTATGGTTATCGAATGCCAGTTCAAGGTTATCATAACACTGTTTCATATAATATTATTTTATGGTACACATGAATAGTAATAATGAAAGTTCAGTATATTGGTACGGTGAAGAAATACTATGAATTGGTAATTTAGCTGAGGTAGCAAAAATACCAGAGGCCCTTAACAACTGGAATTTTCTGAATTTAAACATATGAAACAAGGTACTTAGAACTTTTACATTTAAATCAATTTCCATAATAGAAAGGGAGGAATCTGTAAGGTCCATATGGTTACTTAATGAAGTGTATAAATTACATCTACAGATGAATTTTATACTTGTTTTTACCTGTGTCTGAAAATGAGATATGTCCCTGGAGTCAGGTTGATTCCCAGATCTTGAATTAAAGGACTGGCACCATCAAGTAACATGTTGTGTTGGTTTATGGAACAGTTAGTACCTGCTCATAGCATTCACTGGATTATTTGGGTATCATTGTCAGCCAGCTTTCTTAGCAAACCTTGTCAGCAACTATCTGCATCTTCCAAAGTGTATCTTTCCTTATGTTCATACTTACCTTGCACTGTTAAAGACCGAGAGAACTATTCTTACAGGTTTCCTGGCACTGTAATCTTCTAAACCAAGAGTTAAGTAGCTTGCAGAAATTTCTAGCATCTCTAATCCAATGCTATTAACTTCTTGAGCTTAAGTATATTGCTACTTCAGTAGATGTGCCACTGTAAAGAGGTTAGTCTTCCACATGATCCAAGGTACACTTAAGTATAACAGCTCAATGCCAACTATGTTTGTTCAGAAACAAGTCGTAATGATTTCAGTGGGGCGTGCTTTCAAGTTACTGTGCTTTAGGAATGCAGCCTAAGAATATATTAAGTAGCTAGTGATTCTCCTCAACCTCACCTCTTTTAACCCTGCTTAGATAAGGTTGTCCAGCAGAAGTCATGAGCCATTTACAGCCACTGAGGCTATTTTCAGAAACGATGTTGACATCAGTTTTATACTTCCTACATTTGTAAACTGAATGAAGACCACCATTCAAGTAAAATGTATTTGAGTGGTAACAGTGCCACTGATGTGACAAGTAATAGGGAGAATGCCAAAAAAAATGAAATAAACTTTTCAAAATGAAAAGGACAATAATATTTTAATCCTATTCTTAATTATACATATATCACTATCATACATCTAAATCCAACTTTGGTCCCACTTGGTACTTGGGGGGGGGGCAGTGGGAGAGCTTCTAGTGTCCTGGCCCCATTGCTGGACCTCCTGATGGTACCTGATATTTTTGGCCACTGTGTGACAGAGTGTTGGACTGGATGGGCCATTGGCCTGATCAACAATGGCTTCTCTTATGTTCTTATGTAGATTAAAAAATGTGCACAATGGAGCCATGTACAGATAGGAAAGTTTTAGTCTGAAAACTGCAAAAAAAAAAAGTATGAGGAGGGTAAGCCACAAAATAGTTAACAAGTGATGTCTGCACATATATAGATTTTAAAAAAAACTTGGCAAATCTAGAAACCCAGGACACAATGTGGGGATACGAAAAACAGCCACAAGGGGGAAAAATGACTGGATGGCTGTTTTGGTATCTTGGGGAGGGAGCAGAAAATGGAGCAATTATACAGGTTGAAGAGAGAGTTAAAATGGAGGGTGGGAGAGAAATTAAACAGTGATTTTACAGGTTGACAGTAAAATGGTGACTTGGGGGTGTGGGTATTGGGGAAAAAGGAACAACAAAAGGAAATAAAGCAGGGACCAGTTAGGATTTTTGTTCCTCCCCACAAGTTATCTTTGTCTTGTTTGTATATTATTTCACTATTTAATGAGGCTAATGAAGTAAAGTTAAAGTCTGATCAATTAAACTAGCGGTAGTGATGTTAGTTTTTGCACCAAAAATGAATAGGAGTCTTGTGACACCTTAAAGATAATGCATTCTCACTGACAGTCCACAGTAAGCAGACTGTTTCCATCTTTTTTTAATAACTTTGCATGTATGACCAACAAAAGCTTATGCTAGAATAAAAATGTATTTCTCTTTAGGATGCTACATAAGCAGTAGCTCTAGCCACAAATGTGTCAGAACATAATGTGACTCCTGTAGTTCTTTCTTTACCAAACTCTCCCATCTAGTGTCCATGATGTGTAAGTCACTTTTTTAAAACATGGCACTGTTAAACCTTGAACCAGAATGCCATCACTGCAGTTCCCTGTCATATCTCCTTAATAAATCTCTTTTAAAATACTTTCCAATGCCTGTGGTCACAGTAAAATAGACATATATTATACTGGATATCTCATAAAGATGATTTCTGTAGCAAATCATGTGTCATTTGTAAGGAAACCTCACTTTCATTACAGCAATGAAAATTCACATAACTTAAATGTTTTGTCTCTGGAAAATTAGAAAATCTTTATTTAAACCACTGTTTTCTTCTTAATATTTTGTGTGTATTTCAATACAGAACAACCATCACAACCTACAGTTGTAGATCAAGCAACATTTTTGGAAACAGAAGAGCTAAAAATGGTAAATGAGCATCTTCACTGTATATATTTCTAATGACTGATTGATCTGTTTGGCTGTTTCACCCTGAATCTGGTGTATTAGAACTTGTGGATGGGTGGGTGGACGGGGGCGTATACAGCAAATGCTAGAAAGATTGCATTAAGTACATTGAAGGCCAAGTGAAATGCTCCCTCTAAGTATTGCTCCCTCTAATTCTACTTTGCGAGCTACAGGCATTAAAGTTGTGAGTGAATGATTTGGCTGTGCATAAATTAGTTTGCTCTGGAGCCATCCTTCCTGAGCGAAGACAAAAATGTGTGAGCTGGAGGCTAAAAAACTGTGAGCTAGCTCACACTAACTCAGCTTAGAGGGAACACTGGCCAAGTGTTTGTTATGCTGCTGTTTATCCTTAAAATGGATCTACAGGGGCAGGTGCTGATTGGGCTTATTGCACTGGGAAGGGGGTGGCATTTGCTTTATTCTGTGCTTTTGCCCAGTCAAAACTAGACTTTACTGAGAAAGGCGGCCTTTTTCCCTAACAGAGTGTATATGAACCAGGGGATGGTTTTTATCAGTAAATAGCACAGAGGGAAAGACTTAAGTTCTCCTTTCCTGCGCTGTGATCCTAAGCCATGTCATTCCCAACCCCCCACATCTAAGCAGCTGCTTTTTAAACTACACAGCAGGTGGAAACAGTCACTAATCCACAACATAATATATAGTTTAGTACTTTATCAATGCCAGGCTGTTTAATTTGGTAGTAGCTCTTGTTTCAGGCCTTTGGGAAGAAATCTTTCCTAGTCTTGCTCTGCAAAGACCTGTAACTGGAGATTCTAAGATCTAAGTCTTTGACCTTATATATACAAAACAGTTATCTACTATGGAACTGGTATGAGATAAATTATTGCTGGAGGTTAGAATGTTGAATGAGGTCTGGGGAGACCCTGTTCATTTCGAAACGCGGTGGGTACTTTGGCCAGTCACTCTCTGTCAGCCTCACCTACATCACAGGTAGATTGAAGGACAAAAAGGAGGAGGGAAGAACCATGTAATCTCCTTGGAGGAAGGGCAAAATAAAAATACATACTGAATAAATCTATAAAACATGTAGCAACTTGGCCCTAAATATTCTACTGTTTTAATGGCACAACCATACTACTTGGTATATTTATTTTGTTTACAGATTTACTTTGTGCAGGATTTTTAAAACTAAGAGTACAGGGAAAATCTCATTTGTTGATTTGAATTGAATTGAGAAATAGTTGGATAGTCACACACGGTAATCCTTACCGCTATTCTAAACCCAATTTTTTCCAGGTATAACTAACCAAATCAGTGAGAGTCAGACTAATGAGTGACACTTGAAACAATTAGTGAGGGGATTTTGTGCCTCTGTTCTTCAGTCATTCTACCCTCACTTCTGATTTAGTACTTTAAAACTAAACCAGTTAGGGACCACTCATGCTGTCTCTTAGATGTGTCTGACACAGCAACTATAAATATGGGTACAAATGAACAAGCAACTCTGTAAGGTTTTTGTCTTTGTTTTTTCAGTTGGGGGAATGTATTTCAAATGAAGGTTATCCAGAGGGAAACCTTACATGGTACAAGAATGGAATGGTTTTAAAGCCTGTTGAAGGAGGTAAGTTTCAGATATGGTGCACTCATTCTGCTGAGGGGTGTGTTATGTTTGTGCACCTTCACAAATCTGTACCAGCTAATCCAGTTGGGTTATTTTTAGTCGCTTGTTAAGAGTGTTCATAAAATTGGCACCTTAATCCTTTTAAACAAAGCTACAACTGGTATAGCAAAAGTATTGTGACTGGTATGGCAAAAGTATCATGATACACATTTTTATAGTGACTTCAGCAAAGAAATTCAAAGTAGTTCTTTTAAAATATGTTATTTTGAGGAATCGTATTGTGTTATTGGTCGCTCATGAAAGTTTCTGTTCCCAGAGGTGCATAACAGCTACCCCTAAGTCATAAACATGGTAATACATATATATGTGTTTCTTTCTGTGTTTGTTCATGCTATATATATTATATCTGTCCACTGTTCTTTATTATTAAAGTCTGTTTAGGCCTCTCAAGAACACACGCATCACATATTTACAAGTAGCGGGCTAAATATAAATAAACAATAAGTAGTTGCAGATGACAATAAAAACCATGCATTTTCCTCCCAAAGCTGTTGTCATAAATGAACAAACAAATGTGGATAAAGCAAGTGGACTCTACACCGTGATATCTTCTCTGGAATATATGCCAACAAAGGAAGACAAAAATGCACATTTCACCTGTACAATGACATATTACGGACCAACGGGACGAGAAATACTACGGTCAGAATCTGTACGCTTCGATGTTCACTGTAAGTTCATTTATCCTTGTCTATGCAGCATTAAAAGCTTAGCATTCCAAGATCGTGTTACTTTTCAGATAATGGAAGGGTTGTGGTCCTCTCACAGGATTTGTAGCTCAGTGGTAGAGCATCTGCTTGGCCTGTACACGGTCCCAGTTTCAATCCCCAGCATCTCCAGTTAAAAGGAACAAGAAGTAGATGATAGACCTCTTCCTGAGATCCTGGAGAAGTCTGAGTAGACAGTACTGACTTTGATGAACTAATGGTCTGATTCAGTATAAGGTGTGTTCATTGATAACATGCCACGGATAGCAAATAAATATTGGTGAGCAGCAGATGAGGTTACTCTGGCCATTTAGAAAAAACTTGAGGATGGAAATGACCTGTTAATCCTTTCTTTTAACTTTAAAAAAAAATTAATTAGGAAAAAAAGTGCAACACATAAAAGAGTAGAACATAAAAATACAATACAAAACAAAGATCCTATTTAACAAACTGACATACCTTTTGCATTATTGGTTTCCAAATCAGCTCAGTCTGTTGTGTGTGTTTTCCATTCCTTTAAAACCATCAATTTCATCAGTTGATAGGTCTCTAAACTTTTTTGTGCCCATTCTTAGATTGTTGGAGCTTTTGCCTGTTTCCAGTGCCTCCCAAATACAATTCTAGCAGCTGTGATTAGATGTAAAACTATGGACCATAGATTATTAGGAAACTTTACTACATAGTTGAGCAGAAAAGCCTCAGTTGTAAAGGAAAATCAGATCTGAAACTGGCCTTTGTTTACATCAAGATTGCCAGTTATTTTTAGCTCATATACAGGTGGGTCCACCACATAGGGTAAAAATTAGCTCTGTATGATTTACAATGCCTTTGAATATATGATTTTTGCCCACTCTTTGAAAAAACTTCCGAAACCAAATACTTAAAGTCACTAAAGAAGATAAGGGTTCTCAACCTTATCAAATGCTTCTTTTTTTTACATCCAGAAGAGAAATACCACACTAAGCTTGTTACAGTGTATATATTAAGTTTAGAACTTTTCTTATATTTGTGTATATATACAGGTCTTCCTGGAACTAAGCCTTTTTGGTCCAGGACAATGTAGCTGCTAATTACCCTCTTAAGCCTGCATACTAATAGAGAGGTTAAAATCTTACAGTGACAATTAAATAGACTTATAGGGTGACTAGCAGTAAAGCCCGTTGTGAATGTAGGGTGATAGTGATATGATCGTAAATTGGCTAGATTTGACTCGTTTTGGTATTAGTACTATTTTGGATTAAGTTCATGTTGATGGAAGAGATCCATTGACAAGGGTAGTATTTATTGCCTTTAATAATGATTGAACTTAGACTCTAGTAAAGCCTTATATTCTGGCATCAGTCCATCCAGACTGGGTGCTTTATTTTTCTTTCGTTTTTTTAACACAGTCATTAGTTCCTCAGCCACAAATGAGGCTTCCAAAATAGCATTATCATGCTCACTTATTTGGGGTAACTTAACCTTCTCCAAGAAACTATTTATGCACTGTTGGTGAGGTTTTTGTGACACATATAGCTCTTCATAAAAGGTAGCAAATTCCTTAATTATCTGACTATCTATTTTTGAATTGCTACTATAGTGTTTGTAGCTTTTTAAAAAATAATTTATGAACAAGCAGTTTATCTAGTCTATCCCCGTGAGTGAAATATTGCTGCTTAATATATTGCTTATTTTATGAATTCTAACTGTCAAAATCATATAACTTAGATCTTGCCTCATTAACCAGTTTCAGATTCTCAGACTTATGCTTTGCCTCTAGTACTTTAATTATATTGATACATTTGCTATGCTGTTTCTCTTAGCCTTCTAATATGCATTGAAGTATGATGGCTAAGCCCCTAAAATAGGCTGCCCCTGCCTCTTAAACACTAATATGCGAAACCTCCTGACACTATATTAAGTTTGAAGTAGATGTGCATTTCATCTTGTAGCCTTTCCCTTCCTTTCTGGTTAGACAGCAGATCATTCTCAAACCTCAAGCTTTTAGATGTATCTCTTTTTAAGGCAAAATTGAGGGAGATTGTAGCATTATCATCTGCAAATATATTGGCCTCAGTTTTAGTCTGTACAATGTTACCAACTAGAGAATAGACGAAAAAGAAATCTGTACATGAATATGAGTTATGTTGTATTGATAAAAAGGTATAATCACTAACTGTAGGATAGAGATTTTGCCGAATATCAATTAAGTTAAACTTATTAATAGACTTCTTAAACTTATAAGGCAGGGTACATGCATTATTTATTTTTTGAGACCTATCTAGTGCACTGCTCATGACACAGTTAGAATCTCCTCTTATTATGAGGTCTCCAGAGTTAAATTGTATAAGTTGTTCTTGTAATTCCTTAAAGAAGATATTTTGAGGATGATTAGGAGCATAGATATTACTAATAGTTACTAGACGATTGTTGATGAAGTCTTTCTAAAGTAGATGCCTTCCATTTTTATCCAATAGTGTGCTTGTAATTATCACATTCAGGTTTTTAACATATATAGCAAAACCTTTTGTTATCAACTGCTGTAACCTTGTTTGATGTAGTGGTTAAGAGTGCGGACTCTAATCTGGGACAACCGGATTTGATTCCCCACTCCCCCACATGCAGCTGCTGATGTCACCTTGGGTCAGTCATAAGTTCTTTCAGAGCTGTTCTCTCAAGGGCAGTTCTCAAGAGAATTCTCTCAGCCCCACCTACCTCACAGGGTGTCTGTTTTGGGGAGGGGAAGTGAAAGGGATTGTAAGCCGCTCTGAGACTCCTTCAGGTAGTGAAGGGTGGGGTATAAGTCCTATCTCCTCCTACTACTCCTACTCCTTCACAAGTACTGAAACATTGTCTTAAAATCTTCAAATAGTTTATAACTTAAATTCAGTTGTAAGTAGCTCTCAGATGCTTTCAAGAGGAGTTGCTAAATTTGGTGAAAATCTCTTACCAAGAGAGAGGTTTTTTTTGGCATTTTTACTAATAAATAAAACTTTAAAATTACATACTAAATTAGTACAAGTTTAAACATGGAGACTTAGATTGCGGTCACACGCGCAAGATAATGCGGGGGGGAAGCGAGGCTATTTCCTCTGTTGCAATTTGACCCACAGTTGCACAATCACACAGTCCCTGGGAGCTGCGGGAGCAGCCCACCACTGCGTGATCAGATGCACCCGCGGGTGAATCGGGGTTTTTTTGCCATGTGTTTCCATTGCACTTCAATAGGGGATTGATGAATCACATCTCCACACTAAGTGTTCCCGATCTGAGCATCCCGACACCATGAGAGCGCACTGGTGCAATCACACGGGAAAGTCCATTCCTGGCCCGTAGCAAACCGTTTGCTACTGGATTTTCCCTAGTGTTTTTTTACTCCGCTTCTGTGGTGGAACAAAATGTGTTGCCAACGGGTGCGGGACGCCTGGCAGATGTTCTCGTGTGATCGTGCCCTTAAAATCCGCCCGGCATTTGTGCCTATGGCACGGCTAATTCTGCATGTGATCGCACCCTTAGTAGCTATAAATCCCTAAGGTTTGCCAAAAGATTGCAACCAAGCATAATATGCCACAGCTACAGCTAATAACAATTAGTAGAATACTGCTTAACTAAAAAGCACTTAACTATAAATCCTTATAACTCACCAGAAGGTTACAACAAAGTTTAAAATACCGCAACTACTACTAATAAAATACTACTAAACTGCTTTTAGTGTTTTCCTTAGTGCTATACTTAGAAAAGCAGCCCTTCATTAGATGTTATAAAAATAAACAACTTATGAATTAAAGATGCCAAAATACATCAATTGCAATGGGGGGGATTGGCATTTTGTCCTTCAGTTCCCTTTTTTGACATGGCTGCAAGCTGCTGCTGGAATTAAATAGTGGCGGTGCTGAGGTGGTACACTGTGCTCAGGTCTGGGCAGATTCCTCTTCCGGTCTTCCTGTTCCCTTATTGTTTGTCAGGAGGACAGGGAGGTGTTGCTCTGGCCAAGCACTGATGGGGGGAGCAGGTCTGTTAAAGCTTCATATCGACTTCATCCTTCCCACCTGCTAATGCTATTTTATGCACATGGATCAGCATGAAAAAGATACAGAAATGGGTGAAAATGGACAAAAATGTTAATGAAAAACCTTCGCGGGATGAAAATGCTTTAAACATAAGGAATTATTTAAATTAAAGTATGAAGAAATGCATTTTTTCTTTGGAGGTTTGAAATGAGCAAATCCTTCACTCTGAGTCTTCCCCCTTTCCAGGCAGAGAACAGGAAGGAAGATGGGAAGTCAGTTCAATTGTTTCTCAGACTTACCTCAGTCTATCTTCATACAAATGCTAATAGGTCAAGACAATGGTCTTGATGGTCAAGATGGTCAAGATCCCCCCCCCAAGCAGGGAACAGAGATTTGGAAGTGTTAAATATTAGAGAGGTTTTGGGAAGGAAATTCTGGAGACTTCAGGAAAAGCTTCTCTAACATGGTCTGACCTGGTCAGTGAGTGGGGAAAAGAGAGGTTTAAAAAACCCTCAGGGGAGCAAAGAGGAAATGCTCTTTTGTGTTGAGTCCATTAGAGAAGGCCTGGATAGCTGAAGGAAGCTTGAAGGTAATGGGAACCTGGAGAGATCTGTAACTTCCTACGCTAAGGAGTCTGTCCTATATTTTAACATCTGATAAGGCATGTATAGAGAGAGGGACAGAGGATTTACATTTTACCCATTTCTTTTGAGTCCCTTGCTCAATCTGGTGCTGTGCTAAAAGTATGCTTATGGACATTTACTTTTAAATAAATACTTTATAACTTTTGATGCTGGTAGCACCAGGGAGAAGGTAGGCAGTTGGCAAGTGACTATTCCTTCAGGAGTACACAAGGCAGTAAACTGTCCCCATGGTTACCAGGCGCTGGGCAGTGGGAGACACAGAGGCAAGGCCTCAGAACTTGGAAAGGAAGCTGGGAGTTCTCACCCTCCCAGTGGGCAATTCCTACATAGG